AAAGGACTAAGAAAGACAGAACACCATTCTTCACAGAAATATGAGAATTTAAAATTACATTTTTAACTATTTTATTTATTTAACTGACAAATATTAGTTTGGTGATTTCATACTTAACTTTCTAAAATAAACTGGGTTTTGATAAAAATTGGTTTCACTTAACATTCAGAGCAGATTTATTTCCATTTGCCATTACTTATAAATTTTAATCTTATGGCTAGATTTAAGTTTATAAGCAGATTTTCATCCCTCTCCTGTTTAAAGCTTTAATATGTTTTAAATGTGCAATTCATCATTGCCGTTTACTAGAAAGATAATTATTACTATCTACCACAATGAAGATTTGGCTTGCATACACTACAAGTTTCTTTTAAAACAAACAAAAAAAAGTTGTATCAAAACTAAAAAACTTAGTCCACTTGCTATCAAACAAATCCCATGTTTTTACAAGTTTTTATTAGAAAATTCCTCCTTTAAATATCTATATTCCAAGTACCTCTGTTTTAGAAACAATAAAAGAAAGTACCAATCTTTGATGAACTGAAAAACTAAAGCATGTAAAACAAATTACCTCCACCTTACCCCCTTTCAAAGGATTGATTCTCAATTAACTGCAAATTTCCAATTTAATTCAATCACTTTCATTTTCTAATTATTTTTTAGAAAAGAAGTTATTTAATTTACCATTCAATGTGCACTTCTGTTATTACAAAGTTACAGAATCATTCCCAGCAATAAAATATAGATGTAGATTTATAATATAAAACCATTAAGTGATACAGTAAGAAATATGTATTTGATCTTTGTACCCAGTACTTAATACAGAGCTTCTAAAATCCTTGGCATTTCCTGAGCGATAATGAGGTGACTCTTAGTGGTCCCCTTGATAGCTTCAGGATGGGAGCTAATGCCATCTTTAAGTTCTTCATATCTCTAAGGCTGTGACATTCCAAATATACATCCTACAAAAAACTGAATCAGTGACAAACATAATATTAATTTGCAGCTATTAAAGAAGGAGCAACTCCATTCTAAATTACCCAAGCACAAAGTATCTGTTTTTGACCCTAATTTTGCCAGCCTAAGCAAGAATAGGTTCCCAGCAGGCCTGGAGCCTGGGCATGGTAAAAGACATGTGTCTGAGATAATGACTTAGGAAACCAAATTCCAACTCACTCAGTCTAGAAATCAACACCTGCTGTTCTGAGGTGTTCCTATTATGTGCATCTAGTGGGCACGCCCAGTGAAAAGGGCCTGATCCCTGTGAGAACAGACAAAGGGAATTTCAGAAAGACTAGATAGAATCCCCACTCCAATCAGGTGATAGGAACAGTGACTAGGCACCCCGCTGGACAGGGAGCTTGCCTGCCACGTCCTATCCTTGTTTCTAACTGTATTCTAAATAGCCATTTAACTGTAGTAAATTATATAAAATTCTTTACTTATATTAAAAGAACTAGTATTCTTTGCTTCTATCTTCTGTGGTGGTGGTCTTTATGTCAATCACATCCTCATCACACTGTGACAACTTTGTAGAGTCCTGGTTACCTCATTAGTCTATATTATGACCAAAAAAAAAATGGGTGGGAAACAAAACATGAAAAATTAAAATCTGTCCATATTTCCTGCCAATTTGGGAAATGTAGAGGATTTGTATTTAAATAATAATTATAATGATGAGATTATATGGTTTGTAGGTTTTTTATTTTTGCTAGCTACTCCACCACTTGCACAGAGTTGGGCTATAAATGCAGAAGATATTTCTTTGGTGTCTAGGCAAAATGCAGACCAGCTTGAGTTCATATCTCAATTCTGCCACTGACAAATTGTGTCATCTTAACAAATAACATAATTCTTCAAATATCCATTTTGTCTAGTCTACCCATTAAAAATGGAACTTAAGATATTAATTTCACACAGTTCTTATAGTAAAAAAATTTTTTTAATTAAAAAGAAAACTTCAATATTTCACTCACTAATCACAATTTCATATCCCATCAGCTTTCTCAAACTTTAACTACCACTTTATCTGCTCTCTAACCTCAAAGAAAAGGCAGAGATTCTGATTTAATTGGTTTAGTGTAGGGCACAGGCATCAGAATTTTTTTCAAAGCTCCCCAGGTAACTGCTATGCAACAAGATTAGAGAACATTGCCTATGCCTTGATCCTTCCATTTCCTTATACCCACTCTTCCCTCTCTAGACTGTACCCCATTGGTAGCCACCTGAACTGCTTTCTCAACAGCATCTTTAAATCCCTGTAGCTCCATCCTTCCAAGAAACTCACTCATTAAAACCCAAACCCTGGACATCAAGGCCATGATGCACTCTACTCCACAGCTGAGCACTGCCAGAGAAAGGCCCACAAACTAGAATAACACTACAGTTTCTCATCAATTTTAGCTGGACTCTCAACCACCATTTTTTTCTTCTCTGAGATAGCTTTTTCTTTTATCCTCCAACTTTACCCCCCACTAAACTACTACAAATCTTGAAGAAATAGTAAAGATTGTTAATTATATTACATTTCTACCCTTGAATGCATATTTTTGAATAGTCTATGTGACAAAGTGGGAAACATGCATAAAATATTTATCCATATATCAAAGAATAATGATTATCTCAAGAAAGAGCACTTGCGTAGTGAGCTACAAGCTAAACTAGCTGCAACTCTTTGACAAATACCACTTTTACTTGAAAAATAATTGACAGAAAAACTAGAATTACACAGATGTGGGTATTTGACATTTTCTTAAAAATGAACAAAATGAATCTGCCATTTCAAGGGAAACAATAGACAGTATTTCTTACCAATAATAAAGTTTGAGTTTTCAAGTGAATATTCAAATTTTGGAAAACTTGTATTTGCTACATGATTTTCACAGTTTCCCAATACCTATAGTTCAATACTCTAATTTACAAGAAGTTAAATAATGATATTATGTAAATAGGCGCTTAAAACTACATTGTATTTGGAAATGCACAAAGTAACACTTGGTTAAACTGTCCAAAGAACTCTAGAGTCAAAAACTACCTACATGCAAACTGTGAGGAAAAAGAGTAATCCACTTTGGTTGTGGTTATCAAGGAAGGTCTATATAGAAATAAAATCTGAGTTGAGACTTGAAAAACTGGTAGGATTCAGAAGTGAACAAGGCATCTTAGGAAGATTACAATATTTACATATTTTTAAGAGAAACATTGTCTTCTGGTATATTTTTATTATTTCATCATATATTAATTCAAACTCCCAAGTTATATTTTAAGATCCTTGAAGGCAAGGGGCCACATATTACAATTGCTTTCTGTCTGCTAGAGAGATTATTAGCACATGGTCAAATTTAATATATTGGACTACTTGGTTGGGAAAATAAGATAATTAACACAGGGAGGAAGCAGAATGGTAATAATATAACTTCTAGGTTAAATATCAGCTCTGGGACTTAGCTAAATTGCCTTGGGTAATTTATTAAACTTCACTGATTCAAACTCAAATACATTAAGTATAGGGATTACCCTACAAACATCCTAACTAAAAGTACCACAGATAACTAATGATCGAAGAAGAAATGAGAATTTGTGGTCCCGTTTTTAAGCTGACCTTGTTATTTTTCAAGTTATTTTCAAATAACTGATGCTATTTATATTTTTTGCTTTGGCAAAAGAAATTTATTAACATACATACAAGAAAGATGATATAAATTGTATACAACTGTATTACTCAAAGAATTTTCTCTTTAAAGTGTTTTAATATGGCAGACATATTTTTAAATATTTTCAGTATAGTATATTATAACCTATATTATTGAAATTTAACCCACAATAGCACTGTAATAGCAAATATAATTCTAATTTATTCCTCTTCAAATATTCTAAAATATTGCATTATTTTCCTTCCTATCTATTTACATCACACATTCCTCCAGTCACCCTGATATTATCTTCTCCTTTCTACAAACACACATAAACACACTCTTCCCCCTTCATTCCTATATCCTCATTGATATTAATAGTAACTATGGCCACTAGAGGGCAATAAGTATACAAAGATAAATGTACTTATCTATGATGAATTGAGATTCGCAGTAATAAAATTAAAATCTATATCATCACAAATCCTGAAGCATAGGCAGTTAGACTTAAATACACAATACACTTCAAACTCAAAAATTATCCCAGAAAAGGAGATCACAGAAGAGTATAATGGTGTTCAAAAAAGGAATTCCATTTTCTCAATAAGCATTAACTAAAACAACAAGCCTAATTCCCTTATAGATAGAGAGCAATATTAAAAATCAGGATTTCTGGGCTGGGTGCAGTGGCTCATGCCTGTGATCCCAGAACTCTGGGAAGCCTAGATGGGAAGATCACTTCAAGCCAGGAGTTCAAGACTAGCCTAAGCAACATAATAAGACACCATCTCTACAAAAATAAAAAATTAGCTGGGCATGGTGGTGCATGAATCCAGCTATTCAGGAAGCTGATGCAAGAGGATCACTTGAGCCCAGGAATTTGAGGTTGCAATGAGCTATGATGATGCTGTTGCCCTCAAACCCAGGCAACAGAGCAAGAGACCCAGTCTCAAAAATAAAAGAAAAAGAAATCAGGATTTCTTAATATTATCCTCAGACCAAAGAAGATCAAGAGGAGAAACAAATTATCACATTAGAAAAATGTACTGAAAAACAAAGAGGATTTACCAACCCTTTCTTCTACTGAAAATCAAGAGAAAATGTTACAGGTTTCTTTTTGGAGGGAGGAAAACAGTGATTACAGAGATAAATATAGCCGTCAGTTCTTTTCTCACAATTAAGAATGCAGGTGAAAGAGAAGTTAACAGTCATTAATTTTTGACATATAATATTACTGTTGTGTGCACAGAATCTAAATTCAAATGAACTTACTTGATTTATTAAATACTTTATATATAGTTATACTGACATTCCAAAACTGCAACACTCATAAGGTCAACATTTTTTAGCAAACCATAATTTTCTTACCCTCATTGGATGTATATCAGCATAAGGAGGTTTTCCTTCAGCCATTTCTATAGAAGTAATACCAAGGGACCAGATGTCAGCCACACAGTTATAGCCTATTTCTTGAATTACCTCAGGAGCCATCCAAAACGGAGTTCCTATCACAGTATTACGCTTTGCCATTGTATCCTGCAATAACATAACATAGATATAAATACTACTAAGAAAACACAATGGAAATCTGTATACCAAACATATTCTTTCAAAAAAAAAATGTTGAATTCTCAAATACCACAGATTATATCTGAAATTGACAATTTTGTTAGCATCTCAATAAATTATAACATGAAATATTTGGAAATTTTGAATTCTGAAATAACAAAGTCCACAAGTAACTTATCTCCACTATTGTCATTAAAGACACTAACAATAGTACTATAACAATAAAAGCTAAGAAATGAATCAATGTAGCTTCCCTTTTAGAATACTTAAGCGTTTTGATGATAAAATCTACTTTCATCTTCAATGTCCCTTGAATTGTAAATTAAATAGTATCAAATTTGGCTCAATTATAGCTCCTTCTCCACAAAAACTACAAAGTTATACATTTCTTTCCATATCCCCAAAATAAGTTATCAAACATTAGTCACAATCAAACCATAAGAAATAAGTTAAAAATGTTCCCAAAATTATTAAAGTTAACTTGGGTTGAGAGATGAAAAATTACCTATGGGTACAATGTACACTACTTGAGTAATGGGTACACCAAAAGGCCAGACTCCACCACTATACAATATGCACATGTAACAAAATTCAACATGTACCGTTTAAATCTATTAAAATTTAAAAAGAAAAAAATTTTTTAAATGAAAGGCATGGAAGCAGTAGCAGGGCATAAATTTTAATAGAGAAGCAAATATCAAAAAGATAAAATAAATGAAGTTAACTTACAGTTAATTGACCAGCTACTCCAAAATCTGCCAATTTTGCATGGCCTTCTGTATTGAGGAGAATATTTCCAGCTTTTATATCTCTGTGTATTTTTCTCATAAAGTGCAAATATTCGAGTCCTTTCAATGTAGATTTAAGAATGGTTGCAATTTCGTCTTCTGTTAACTGGAAAGAAATGTTTTTAAAACTATAGAATACCATGTTAAATAAATTCTTACGAAAGAGCACTGGTAACAAGTACTTCTTTCTAATGACCATTAAACCTCTCAGAAAAGCATAACAGGTAAATAATCAAAAACTCTTCTTGCCCTACAATATGCTTTGGCACTCTTATTACGCACTTTACTGATGATTAAATTTCTCTTTTCTTTAAATTATCAATGCCATTCCTAAAGCACAGAACATACCCCAAGAATCAGCGTGACCTTAAGAAATCACTATTCCCCAGGTCTTCACTGGGGAACACTGAAGTGGCACTATCACAGCTATCTTGCCTGAAAAAGTAAATTCAGACACTCTTTCCTGAGATATCTTCAATTCTTGATGTAAATGAAAAGTTTAATAACATAGAAAAACCTATCTAAATAATAGCTGATACCCTAAAATCAAAGTATGGAAAATAATTAAAATAAAAAAAAATAAATAAATAATAGCTGAAAACTTCCCAAGTCTAGCAAGAGTTTTAGACATCCAGATACAGGAAGCTCAGAGAACCTACAAAAGACACAACCTAAAAAGGTCTTCTCCCTGGCACATTACAGTCAAACTGTCAAAAGTCAAAGACAAAGACATATTTCTATACACAGCAAGAAATAAGTATCAAGTCACATATAAGGAAACAGCCATCAGACTAACAGGAGATTTCTCAGCAGAAATGTTACAGGTCAGGAAAAATTAGGATGATATATTCAAAGTGCTGGGGTGGAGGGTGGAACTTGTAGCCAAGAATACTATACCCACCAAACTTATCCATCAAAAATAAAGAAATAACTTCCCAGACAAACAAAAACTAAGGGAATTCATCACCATTAGACCAGCCCTACAAGACATGATTAAGTGAGTCTTACACCTGGAAACAAATATCCACCATCATGAAAACACATTAAAGTATAAAACTAACTGAGAAAGAAAACACAAATGAATAAGAAAAAGGACTCAAGGCAGAGCGCAGTGGTTCATGCCTGTAATCCTAGCACTCTGGGAGGCAGAGGCGGGAGGACTGTTTGAGGCCAGGAGTTGAAGACCAGCCTGAGGAAAAGTGAGACCTTGTCTCCACAAAAAACAGAAAAATTAGACAGGCATGGTGGCACGTGCCCTGCAGTCCCAAATACTCAGGAAGATGAGGCAAGAAGATCACTTGAGCCTAGGAGTTTGAAGTTGCAGTGAGCTATGATGATGCCAATGCACTCTAGCCCCAGCAACAGACTGAGACCCTATTTCCAAAGAAAAAACAAACAAACAAACAAACAAAGGACTCAAATGTTGCCACTACAGAAAACCACCAAACCATAAAGATAAACGTCAAGAGAGAAAGGAACAAAGGATACACAAACAACCAGAAAACAATTAACGAAATGATAGAAATAAGTCCTTACATATAAATAATAACCTTGAATATAAACAGATTATATTTTCCACTTAGAATACAGACTGGCTAAATGGATAAGACAACATGAACCAACTAACTGTATGATGCCTACTTACTCCACCTGTAAAAACACATACAGACTGAAAGTAAAAGGATGGAAAAATATTTGATGCAAACAGAAACCAAAAATGAGCATAAATAACTACACTTACAATGGATAAAACAAATGTTAACTCAAAAACAGTAAAAAGAGACAAAAAAAGGTCATTATATAATGCTAAAGGGATCAATTTAAAAAGATGATATAACAGTTCTAAATAGATATGCACCCAACAGTGGTACAACCAGATATATAAAGGAAATATTATTAAATCTAATGAGAAAGATAAGACTCCAATACAATACTAGTTGGGGGACTTCAACACCCTACACAGCACTGGACAAATCATCTAGGCAGAAAAAGAAGGAAATGCTGAATTTAAACTACACTTTTAAGCCAGGCTCAGTGGCTCACACCTGTAATCCTAACACTGGGAGGCCGAGGAGGAAGGATCGCATGAGGTCAGGAGTTTGAGAACAGTCTGAGTAAGAGTGAGACCTCATTTCTTCTAAAAATAGCCAGGCATGGTGGTTTGTGCCTGCAGTCCCAGCTACTCAGGAGGCTGAGGCAGGAGGATTGCTTAAGCCCAGCAGTTTGAGGATGCTGGAAGCTAGGCTGATGCTACAGCATTCTACCCTGGCCAATAAAGCAAGACTCTGTCTCAAAAGAAATTAAAAAAATAAAAATAAACAAACTGCACTTTTGACCAAATGGACCTAAAGAGTCATTTATAAAACATTTCATCCAACAGATGCAGAATACAAATTCTTTTCATCAGCACATGGAACATTCTCCAGGATATACCACATATTAGATCACAAAAGAAAAGTCTTACATTTTTAAAAACTGAAACAATATCTAGTATCTTCTCAGACTACAATGGAATAAAACTATTAATAGAAATCAACAGCAAGAGAAACTTTGGAAACTATACAAATGCATAAAAATTAACATACTTCTGCACAACCACTGGGTCAATGAAATTTACAAGGAAATCAGAAAATTTCTTGAAACAAATGAAAATGAAAACACAACATACCAAAAACTATGGGATATAACAAAAGAAAAATTTATAGCAATAAATGCCCATATCAAAAAAGTATTATAGAAAGATTTCAAATAAATAGCCTACTGACGTACCTCAAGAAAAAACAAGAACAAACCAAATCCAAACAAACCAAACTATAGTAAATAAAAATTAGTAGAAGAAAATAATAAGAATCAGAACAGAACTAAGCAAAATAGAGACTACAAAACAATACAAAGGATCAACAGGAAAAAAAGTCATTCTTGTGAAAAAATAAGCAAAACTGATAAGCCACAGCTAGACTAACCAAGAAAAAAAGAGAGAAGACCCAAATAAACAAAATTAGAAACAAACGAAAGAAATTATAACTGATACCACAGAAATACAAAAGATCAGAGACTATTATGAACAACTACATACTAACAACTGGAAAACCTAGAGGAAATGGATAAACTCCTGGACACATGCAACCTACCAAGAATGAATCAGGAAGAAATTAAAAACCTAAACAGACCAGTAACCAGTAATGAGATTGAATCAATAATTTAAGAAACTCCCAAAAAAGAAAAGCCCAGGACCAGAAAGCTTCATGGCCAAATTCTACCAAACTTATAATGAAGAACTAATACCAATGCTAATCAAAATATTACAAAAAATAGGAAAGAATTCCTCCTAACTCATTCTATCAAGCCAACATTATCCAGATATTAAAACCAGAAAAGGTCACAACCAAAAAAGAAAACTAAATGCCAACATTCTTATGAACACAGACACAAAAATCTCTAAGAAAATATTAGCAAACCAAATACAAAAGCACATAGAAAAGATAATAAACCACCATCAAGTGGGATTTATACCAGAAATGCAAAAAATGATTCAACATATACAAATCAATAAATACGATACATCACATCAACAAAATGAAGGACAAGAATCATATGATTATCTTAACTAACACAGAAAAGGCATCTGATAAAACTCAGTATCCCTTCATAACAAAAAATCCTCAACAAACTAGGCATAGAAGGGACATACTTCAACATAATAAAGACCATATATGACAAACTCACAGCTAACGTCATAATGAATGGGGTAAAACTGAAAGCCCTTCTTTTAAGAACTGGAACCAGGCAAAAATATCCACTTTCACCACTCCCATTTAACATAGTATTGCAAGTCCAGGCCAGAGCAATCAGGCAAGAGAAAGAAATAAAAGGCATTCAAACTGGAAAAGAAGTCAAAGTATCCCTCTGCAGGTGACACAATCTTTTATATTTAGAAAAATCTAAAGACTCCACCACAAAATTCTTAGATCTGATGAAAAAGTAAAATTGCAAGATACAAAATCAACATTTAAAAAAAAATCAAAGCATTTTTGTATACCAATACCAAATTAGCTTAAAAGCAATCTCACTTAATAGCTACACAAAATAAATAAATAAATACCTAGGAATAAATTTAGCTAAGGAGGTGAAAGACCTCTACAAGGAAAACTACAAACCCTAATGAAAGAAATTTAAGAGGACACAAACAAATGGAAAGACATTCCATGCTCATGGATTGAAAGATTTAATAGTTTAGATGACTATACTGCCCAAAATAATCTCCAGATTCAAAGCACTTTCTATCAAAATCCTGATGTCATTTTTCACAGAAATAGAAAGTCAGTCCTAAAATGTATATGGATCCAAAAAAGAGCCTGAATAGCCAGAGTAATTTTGAACAAAAAGAAAAAAAGCTGGAGGTACCACATTACCTGCCTTTAAAATATATTACAAGGCTACAGTAATCAAACCAGCATGGTATTGCTATAAAAACAAGCACATAGACCAATGAAACAGAATAAAGAACCCAGAAATAAACCCATAGATTTATAGCCAACTGATTTTTGACAAAGGTGCCAGGAACATACACTGGGGTACCCTCTTCAGTAAATGGTGCTGGGAACACGGAGGATCCATATGCAAAAGAATGAAAGTAGACCTCTCTCTCTCTCAACAAATACAAAAATTAACTCAAGATGGATTAAAGACTTAAACATAAGACTTGAAACTACAAAATTACTATAAGAAAACATAGGGATAACACTCTAGGACATTGGCCCAGGCAAAGATTTTGTAGTTAAGACCCCACAAGCACAGGCAACAAAATAGATAAATGAGACCACATTAAACTAAAAAAGCTTTTGAATAGCAAAGGAAACAGTCAATAGAATTAAGAGACAACCTGGGAAAAACATCACTCCTATATGGGAGCTAAAAAAGTTGATCTCATGGAGGTAGCAAGTAGAATGCAGGGGCTATGAAAAATGTGTGAGGCCGGAGGAATGAAGAGAGGTTGGTTAATGCATACAAAGACACAATTAGATACAGTTAGATAGTAGAAATAAGTTCTAATGTTCCATAGTAGAGTTGGGTGACTATAGTTAACAATAATGTATTGTACATTTC